GGTAGTGGTGGACGGTGGCGGTGGACGGTTGTGGTGGTGAAGAGAAGTAGAAAAAAAAGGAGAAGATGTTAGAAGATGTTAGAAGACATTGGTTAATGTCTTCTCCAAGAAGATGCCAGGAAGACCTTTTTGAGTGAAATGTCTTCCAAAAAACAAACAATCTGCAGAGCCCATCATCTGCGCGCGTCTGCGCGGCGCAGACAAAAGACGCCAGAAGATCTTCTGGCAGAAAAACAAACACCCCCTTAGTTATTTTTTTAAAGTAGTATTTTATTCTCAAATTGATATTTTTAATACTTTTAAAACTAAAGTTTTTAAAAGTGATTTATTATAAAATATTGATTTATAAAAATGACTTGATATATAGGGAATGATATTCAAACTTTTATATTATCATAAGTTTGAACGACGTGTGATCCTTGTAAACTTGTATTTCGGAGCAACGGTCAGAGACTCCTATCACCGCTCATCGTATACGTATACAGAACCATCGGCCAAGGTTGCGAGAATGATGCCAAAAAGGCAGTATTTCTCAGGGCTACATTCGGAGACCCCGGGTGTATGTCGTTAAATTGAATATTTCGTATCTCAGTAGTTTGATAAAGTCTTTTATAAATTTTTTATCTAACCTATATCTATGTAGTTTCATATATGGAAATTCATTCTTTAAAAGTAAGATATTGATTTTCGTAAAAATTATATTTTTACGAGACTCAGTCCTATATTGTTTTGTACCACTCAGCAAATATGCTGAGCGTACAGTGTTTTTAGTTTTTACTGTGCGTAGGTGATATAGCTGGAACAAGTAGAAGTGCAGGACATGGCAATTAAATCCGTTTAAATAAATATGGTTATGTGTTTATTTTATTTGCTTGAATAAAAAGTTTGTATTATTTTTATGACGTTATGCTCAGAAACATATTGTATTTTAAACTCATTTTCGCTGTTTTTAATAAATATTTATATGATGTTTTTATAAGAAATTACTATATTTCCTCCCAACTCTCTAATTTGGAATAGTCCACAAAACTATTCAAGTTAGGGTGTTACAGCGTAACCCCGCCCCTACAATATTTCTCGGAACCTACCCACCCCCACCCCATACGGCCCAACCCACCCAGCCGTCGTAAGCCCTCAGCCCACGGCCCAAACCTCACCCCCTCCTCCAGTAACCCACGGCCCACCTTGAAACCTCTCAACTGTACCTTAGCTTCAAGCCCCGCCCACACCCCACGCCACAGCCCACCCCCCACTCAAAACACTCACTCGATGGTTACTCGCTCCAAAGACACAATATCCCGGCCCAAGTACATCCTCAATCTCAACACCACGGCCCAAATATCCCGAGTACCCCCTACCTATCGTAGTGTTCTTAAGGACCAAAACTGGTATGATGCTCTGTGTGATGAATTTAATGCTTTGATTAAAAATGATGCATGGGAATTAATACCCTCCTCCCCAACTCAAAATGTTATTTCTGAAAAATGGCTCTTCCGCCACAAATTTGGCCCTACACGTGAACTGTCCAGGTATGAAGCACGGTGGGTGGTCCGTGGATTCAATCAATGCTTTGGAATTGACTATGAAGAGACTTTTAGCCCAATTGTCAAACCAGCAACTATCCGTGTTTTTCTTACCCTTTTTCTTGCCCGTGGATGGCCGATTCACCAGCTGGATGTCAAGAATGCTTTTCTTCACGACACACTTTAGGAGATGGTCTATGCCAGTCAACCATCTGATTTCCAGGATTCGCCGCGACCCCATTATATCTACAGGTTAAAAAGAAGGCTTTATATGGACTTAAGGAAGCTCCCCGATCCTAGTATCACCGATTTGCTCACTTTCTTCATACATTAAGGTTAGACGGCTGTACGAGTGACACATCTCCCTTTGTTTACACTCGTGGGGACGACATGGCTTATTTGCTACTCTATGTGGATGAAATTGTCCTTACTGGTCTTCACCTCTGCTTCACCGGACCACTCAACAACTTAAAGGGGAATTTGTTATGACAGATATGGGTGATCTCCACTTTTTATTTGGGATCAATGTCAAGCGCACGGTAAAAGGAATCTTCCTTCACCAGACTCAGTTTGCTCACGAGATTTTGGAACGGGCTAACATGCTCAATTGCAAGCCTATTTCCACCCCTGTTGACACGAAGGCAAACTTGGCATTCTCTTCTTGCACTCTCCTGTCAGATCCCACGATGTACAGGTCCATTGTCGGTGCACTGTAATACCTCACTTTTACTCACCTTGATCTTACATACGCCTTACAACATCTATATCTTTACCTTCATGCTCCTCGTAGTACTCATCTCACTGCCATGAAGCGTGTCCTACAGTTTCTTCATGGTACTTCTACTCATGGGATTTCTCTTTATTGCACCCACGACACTGACTCCCTAGAGGTCTACTCTAATGCTGATTGGGCAAAGTGTCTTTCTTGGAGATAATCTCATCCCTTGGTCCTCCAAGTGACAAGCCACTGCATCCCGCTCGAGTGCTGAGGCTGAGTACCAGGCTATTTCCAATGTCATCGCCGAGGCAAGTTGGATCCGAAATCTCTTTGAGCTACAACAGTATCTATGCCGGACCACACTTTTCTTCTGCGACAATATCAGTGCCGTGTATTTGTGATCTAATCCTGTTCAACATCAGCACACCAAACACGTAGAAGTTGACATCCATTTTGTTCGAGATAATATTGCTTTGGGCAAGTCCGTGTCCTTCATGTCCCTTCATCCTCCAGTATGCAGACATCTTCACCAAAGGGATCCTCTAACTTCTCTTATCTGATTTCAGGCACAGTCTTGGCATTCGTCCTTTGCCAGTCACGTAGCTAGGAGCATGTTAAATATATTTAGTATATTTTTATTTATATATTTGTATATGGTAGTAACCTTTTGTATAGGGTTTCCTTATTCCTATTCCTACCATAGTTAGGACTCTTGTTGTATATATATGGGGCTTGGCTCCTCTTGTTTAATATAGTAAATAATTATTCTTCAAAAATTACCCTTTGATCTATTTTGCTCCATCCATTCTAAAACGTTATTCCCGTTTATGTTTACGAGGTTTAACCGACTTTATTTTCAATTCAATTTATTTGATTGTAAGTGTAAATTTAAAAAATAAAATTTATATATTTATAACTACATAAAATATTCTATTAGATAAGAGGTAACAAGACTATTTTACTTTATCAAATAAAAAACAAAAATAAGTAAAAAAAGTAATTAAAATTTGACTTTATAAATAATAACTAGAAAAAATGTTTTAGAATAGAGAGAGTATGATTTTTACTAGAGCTGGCAAATCGGTCAGTCAGGTTGGGTTCGGGTTCGGTTAATTCAAGTTCAGGTTATTTCGGGTTCGGGTCAATTCGGGTTTGGGTTGAGAACTGTATGTTCATGACCCAGTATCGTCGGATTCGGGTCGACCCAACGGGTTATGACTTTGGCTTTTAAAATTTTTAAGTTCACATTAACACTTACATTTTCTATTAAATAAATTTAAAATATCAAAAAAGTTGTATTAAATCTATAAATTAATTTTATTTTAAACTCTGAAGTAATTTTTAGATATATAAATCAATATAAGAAATTTAAAAATGCTTAAGTTTTGGAAAAAGTAAGATAATTATGCAATATCATTAAAATTTTGTGTGAAAATTTCAATTTGTACACTAAAAACGAGTAGTAAAGTGTATGATTTTGAAAAATTTTTACTTTAGCGGGTCGGTCAGGTCGGGTTCGGGTTCGGTCGGGTTTGACCTATTTTTAGTGGGTCATTTCGGGTTTGGTCAACTTCGGGTTCGGTCATCAAAACCTTTGTTCAAAACCCAGTGTTTTCAAGTCGGGTTTCGAGTCAAAAACAGGTCGGGTCATTTTTTGCCAGGTCTAATTTTTACTCATGGACTAACTCTAGAGCTGGCAAATCGGTCGGTCAGGTCAGGTTCGGGTTCGGTCACTTCAAGTTCGGGTTATTTCGGGTTCGGGTCTATTCGCGTTCGGGTTGAGAACTGTATGTTCATGACTAGTGTCATCGGGTTCGGGTCGACCCAACGGGTTATGACTTTGGTTTTTTAAATTTTTAAATTCACATTAACACTTACTTTTTCTATTAAATAAATTTAAAATATCAAAAAAAAGTATTAAATTTATACAATTATTTTATTTTAAACTTTGAAGTAATTTTTAGATATATAAATCAATATAAGGAATTTAAAAATGCTTAAGATTTGGAAAAATGTACGATAATTATGCAATATCATTAAAATTTTGTTTGAAAATATAAATTTACATACTAAAAATGAGTAGTAAAATGTATAATTTTGAAAAATTCTTACTTTAGCGGGTCGGTCAGGTCGGGTTCGGGTTCGGTCGAGTTTGACCCATTTTTAGCGGGTCATTTCGGGTTCGGTCATCAAAACCTTTGTTCAAAACCCCGTGTTTTCAGATCGGGTTTCGGGTCGAAATCAGATCGGGTCATTTTTTGCTAGGTCTAACTAACTCCTAGCTGTGGGGGACTCGTGGGTGGGTTCCCCTTCTTTTTGTTGCAAAAAAGTAAAGCTAAAAATGTCATCAGCAAAACCCCAGCGCTGCCGGCTTTGTCTATCTTCAACACCCACCCACACGTATCTATACATATATACAGAAGATGTAATACACTATATACAACTTTGATGCGACGGATGGAGAAGAGGGAGAATATGGCGGAGGAGGGTGATGCATCGAAGCCATGGGGAAATGAAGAAGATGAATCGGGAACGAGCAATAAGAACGAGCAGGAGAACATTAATAGTAGCAAAGGTAAATTAGGAATTTGTTTGGCGACGGCGTCGTCGATGTTTCCCGGTTTCAGATTTTCTCCGACGGACGAGGAGTTGATTTCGTATTACCTGAAGAAGAAATTGGAAGGGAGTGACGAGTGCGTGGAGCTCATCTCGGAGGTTGAGATTTGGAGGCATGAGCCTTGGGACTTACCAGGTCCTACTACTCTCTCTATCTCATCTTTACATACTTCATTCCAAATTTGAGTTGATGATTTTCATTATTATTTTGTGTAGTTTAAGATATTGAAAGTGCTTTCAAAATTCAAATGTTAAAGACTTCATTAAGGTTTAATAAGTGTGTTTTCTGATTTTTGTTAGTTCAAAGTTTGTTTGTGGAAAGTTCATTCAATAAAAGTTAGTTGGGTAAAATTAAGCTGTTCGAGATTACAGGAATTACTTCAAATTAGACTCATAAGTCTGTATGATGACTAAATTGAATTTTTGGATTTCTACTCGTATTTGAGTTCAAAATATATGTTCATTGTTCTCGAAAGGGTTGAATGGTTCTAAATATTTTCATTTTCTCGATCAGCTAATCTAGTACTTCTTCTTTCTCTAAAAGATCTTCCTTCTTTGACTTTATTGATCAACTGTCTACTCAAGTTGACCATTAATAAATATAATTTTAAAAAAAGTAATGTTACAAAAATTTGTTATATCAAAACTATACCTTAAAATAAACACAATCATATAAAATTTATATGATCACTAAATATACATTATTCACAATTTATAGTCAAAGTTTGTAAAATTTGACAAGAAATGTCAAAGAACAAAGATCTTTTAGGGACGGAGGGAGTGGTATGGATTTGATGCCACACTTGGTATGACTAATTAATATTAGTATTGTGTCAAATAATTTGCAATGTCAGAAAAAGTTGTAAGCTTTATGGGTGCTAAGATTCTGTGCTGATCTTGATATGGTATAGATATTCAATGATGTATGTTAGTTTCTGTTTGAAAGCAGCCAAGTCTGTGGTGCAATCAGATAATGAGTGGTTCTTCTTTTCGCCTCGTGGAAGGAAGTACCCAAATGGATCGCAGAGTAAGAGGGCTACTGAATCTGGGTATTGGAAGGCCACTGGGAAAAACCGAAATGTAAAGTCGGGTTCAAATGTGATTGGCACAAAAAGGACACTGGTCTTCCACACTGGTCGTGCGCCCGAAGGTCAGAGGACAGAGTGGATCATGCATGAGTATTGCAGTTGTGAAAAAGCACCTCAGGTAAATTTTGCTCGTACACACATCACATATTCTACGTTTGTATTCCAACTTTGAGTTTCTTGTTGGAAGGGAGATCTATTCCTTGATGCATCTATATTTGCCCCCTAAGCTTTATGTCTATTCATTGCGGTCAAGTGAATCGTCCTACGGTCTTACTACTAGACCATTGTAGCTTGGCAGAAATCATGCATGTCTTTCTTTTTAAATCCACAGGAGTCTATGGTCGTCTGCAGGCTCAGAAAGAACAAGGAATTCCATACGAATGATGCCCCAAAGAAATCAAGGAATCAATCTACTGCTGATAATATTAATAATAATGCGTATTCTGAACTAGAAAATGCTGAGAGTGTGAGAGAACCATGCACAGGGGACAGCTGCTCAAACCCATGTATTACTAGTATCAATTCTCATTTAGTTGAGCAAATTGACTCTGGATTTGATTATGATCAGACCATTGACATCCCTTCTTCCAATCACTTGAAGGTTTTACTTTCGTTCCCCTACTTTTTTTGGCAGAACTGTTTATGTACATTGTTTTTGGATTTTTTGTTCAAACTGAATAAATTCATTTTTGGTCTTTGTTCAATCTCATTCTATTTATCTATTACTATTACTCCAAAATATAGAGACTAAGTTAGAAGTCTAAATACAAGTAAATGTTAAATACTTTCATCATTTTTCAATTTCGTTCGCATTCCTAGGATAAAACCCAACATTAAAAAAAATTTACTTTTCTTATTTGTTTTCTTTACATTCCCCATCATTTTCCCCATTCCAATTTTCAAAAGTCATGCTTTCTTTATTTGAAAAAAAAGGCTTTGCGTGGAAGTGCCTTTTGGTGTTTCTGATATGTTCATACACATGAATTCCAGGACCCTGGCAACGAAGAGGAAGACTGTTTTGTGGATATAATGAGAGATGACATAATAAAGCTAGACGATTCCTTTAACAGACCCCTAGATTCTCTGTCAGCGAACAACAAGAAGCTCGGACCAAATATAAACCCAAAGCAACCTGCTCAAGCTTTATCGCGGCATGTGCTTCCATCCCAAGGCACTGCAAATCGGAGACTAAGACTACGAAGGGAAAGCGTAGCATTCTTTGAGGCATCATATCGACTTAAGAACAATAAAACCCATGCCAAGGAGTTCTCCAGATCAAATAACAAGCAATCTTTAATATGGGTGGTTAGCGCGAGGCTGAAAAGATTGTCCATTTATGCCCTTCTATTAAGTCTTTTAGTAGTGATTCTGTTTCTTTCTTCTTTACAAGGATCCCACCTTGTAAAATGGGTTAGAGGCTCTCTTCTTTGAAATGGACATGACTTTTTAGTACCAGACTAGAATGTCACCACTAATCAAGGTTTGGTAGATTTGAGGAAAATGTCGACTCTTGTAAGATTGACCAGTAGGTAACCATAAAGCTCTTTGTTTGGGCATTTGGTGTATCTCAACCCTTCTGAGTATGGGTCCCACATCTTGAGTGGTAGGACCCACTTCTTTTCATGGTTCGAACTGAGGAGTTGGATTTACATGTTAGACAAAAAAAAGATTAAATATATGAATGAAATGAATGTACTGTGTTGTGTGTGGCACATGTGGATATTTGTCTTATTATGGTAGGGCCCTTTGATGCTTTATCTGATTATCAGCCATAGAAAAAAATGTGTACATTACTTTCTTTTGTGTACCTATTTTCAAAGGTTAAAAGCTACAGGCAACTGGATAGATGATATCAATAAAGCAGTGAGCAGGAATTCAATTTTTGTGAGTTTTAAAGTGGTGTTTGGCCATTACAAGATACTAATGACAAAGACTTTGCTTATTTCTACTGCTGCTAAGAGGTATGTATAATTCTGACTCTCTTTTTTTCTTATTGCTCATTAGGGTGCATTATTTTTCTTGCTCATAGTTGGAGAAATTGCCCCCCACTCAATATATGACTTTTCATCCCTCCCCGGATGCAAAATCGAAAAAAAAAAACGTAGGGAGCAAAATTGATGTCACCTTCAGAAGACACTGTGAAATGCCACATTATAATTCTGGTTTATGTTTCATTTTTTTTGGTGTTCTCCTGATTCAATTTCCATACTGTGGAGCTTCATATGCCACACTTAGTATTTTTTTGTTGGGTTCAGGCGATGATCACTGGTGGTGCTGGTGGCATTGGATCCATGACAGCAAAGCTATTCTGTCAAAATGGTGCCAGAGTACTCATAGCCGACACCAGAGTTGATCAAAGCCTATCCATCTGCAAAGATTTAGGCCCTGAAAATGCCCACTTTGTTCGCTGCGATGTCACAAACGAATCAGATGTCCAGAATGCCGTCCAGACAGCTGTCTCTGCACACGGAAAGCTTGACATAATGGTCAACAATGCCGGAATCATGGGAACAGCCAATGCACCAGACATTCTCGATGGTGATGCATCCGATTTCGCCAATGTCTTCCGTGTCAATGTTGTGGCCGCATTTCTGGGAACCAAACACGCGGCTCGTGTGATGGGACCCGCCCGAAGCGGGAGCATAATAAACATGGCTAGCATCTGCAGTATCATCGGCGGGGTGGGTCCGCACGCATATACCTGCTCAAAACACGCTGTTCTTGGCCTGACTAGGAACACTGCTATTGACTTGGGACGATATGGGATCCGAGTGAATTGTGTTTCCCCTTATGCAGTCCCGACAAACATGTCCAGGGCATATTTGGGTTTTGCAGAGGATGAGAGGTTCGAGGTTCATTGGAACCTTAAAGGTGTTGGCTTGATGGTGGAGGATGTCGCAGAGGCTGTTGTTTATCTAGCAAGTGATGCGTCTAAGTATGTGAGCGGCCATAATCTTGTTTTGGATGGAGGCTTTACTGCTTCTAATTTAGCTTTGAATATCTTCAACCCTTAGACATATTATGTGCCACTTCTTAAACTTTGATCCACCTATTTCTAGGGCCGGAAATCTACAAAGCTGCTCTTGAATTGGCTCGTCTATTGATATTAAGAGCATGAACAATGGCAAGTTAAAAATAAGATGCCACACGCTAACATGACTTTTTTTAACAAGTAATCCAGTCATACAAGGGAGTGGAGTGGAACGTTGTGCAGTGGCAAGTCATTGCGTTTGTTCTTTTGTAATTTACTTTCTTTATTAAAAATTGTTTTAGTCATATTTTTATTAAAAAAAACAATTTTACTACTTTTCTAAATTCAATACGAACTATGAAATATCTAAATTCATACTCTGTAATTATTGAATTTAATAATTCTAAAATCCTAATTAAAGAAAATAAAAATAAATAATCAAAGAAATCACTCCCTTTACACTAATCAATAAATTAATCCATGTTTGGTTCACCCCCAATATAGGGTCCAAGCTTTGCCATCCACCAATTTCGCCACAAAACTTGTCGTGTATGAAGAGGAAGCCAACAGTGTATTTTCACCGGACATAGGGTTTAAACCCTAGTCGGCGCCTCATATCCTTGTCTTCCAGATCTTGCTCTCTCCAAGCTCATCTAAAAAAAATCCTCCCTTCTAAAAAAACGAGAAACAAAAATAAAAAAAATCCAAAAGAATGGAACGGTGATGGAACGGGGAGTGGGGTGGAACGCCTGGGAACTGCCTCGCACCATGCTACCACAGGCTGATGTGGCAAGGCATGACAGTGTTTTGGAATGCCATTGTGGGTGCTCTAATGACTCTTTAAACGAGGTTCAATTTCAGCTATATCAATGTTTTAATTTTAAATAACACCCAATTGAATATGGAATAAATAAATTGAAGAAGTTTAAAGACTAGTGCATCACCCGTGTGATGCACGGAAATAAAACAGTTATCATAATTGCGAAAAACATTTTATATTTTAAATTACTGGATATTAATTTATAAATAGTAGATATGTACACACTTCCATTTATAAATTTATTATTCATTTAATTTTAAATAGGCATACAAAACATAAAAGAGTGAGTTTTAGAGCGTACTACATTCAATAGATAATATGAGAATGAGTAAACTGTGCACATTAAGATCAATCAAATATTTTAAAAAACCTTCTTATAAACTACATTTGTTGTAGCGTTGGCTCGAGTATTTTCAGAATTATATATTATTATTTTTAAACTCGCACAGGAGCATACCCTAGACATTGCCACATACAGGTGTCCGTGATTGAAAATAAGTCCCTGACAGTTGTCCACATAAGTACATGCCAACATGAGAGAGATTGTCCCTGACTTTTGTTTATGGTCATTGCATATGATATCATAATCGGAAATTTTTTCTTTGAAACTTAAATGACAATCCTGTATCTGAAAGAGTTAATGAAACTCGCGAGATCAAAACAGTTTGTCTTGTATTTTTCCATGAATCATTTTTGCTTCCATGAGATAGTTACCAAGTCTTGTAACAATTAATCGTGTTTTGTTGCACAGACCGTTAGCATGATCAATGTTACGCAAAAGCATTATCGGAGTCCCAACTTTTAGTGTTAGTTCGTGATTTGAAATTTCTGAAGATCTAATCAAGTTCAAATACTCTGTGGTGTGCAGATCGCCAAATAAAAAAGCATTCATATTAGACTGACACGCAGTATCAGCATTCGCGCAAACCTTCTCATCCCCTCCATTCATGGTGATCATGTACTGATTTATTTATTCCACGACTTCAAGTGTTGGGGTTAAAATTGCTCTTTCTTGTAGTAAACTATCTTGACCAAAATTTGTTGCAAAATGCCCAACTTAACACAAGAAATCATTTCTTTGGGTAAAAGGCCGGAAGCATTACCATCTTCCTCTTCTACTACATGTACTAATTGCACTACGTTAAAAGCTAAGGTTGCTAGTTTAGAGAAAACATTGGGAAAGTTTAATAATGCCACTAACCTTAGATAAAATACTTAGGCAAAAATCTAGTAATGGTGAAGGACTAGGATATAAGAAGAACCAACCTAGAAAAACCATACTCCCTCCGTCCATAATTAAAGTTTTCACTTTCCTTTTCTTGATGTCCACAATTAAAGTTCCCATTTCCTCTTTTGGTAACTTTTTTTCATCAAAAAGACTTAAATATCCTTCTTTATCTTTTACTTTTCTTCTCTCCTTCCTTTTCTTCTCTCCTTTTTTTTGCTTTCTTTCTTCCCTTCTATTCCGTTCTTCTTCTTCCCTTATACGAAGTATCTCTCTTTTCTGGTTCTTCTTCTTCTTTCTTCTATCTCTTTTTTCTTCCACTTGATTTTTTCGTTTTTTTTCTTTTTTCTTCTTCTTCAGATTTTTCCTTCTTCTTTTTCCCCCTTCCTTTCTTCATCTTTTTCTTTTCCTTCCGATTCTTCTTCTTCTTCCGCCATTCCGATTTTCCCTTTCTATTCTTCTTCTTCTTCTTTTTCTTCTTCCTCTTCTTCCCCCCTTCTGATTTGGCGTTTCTATTCTTCTTCTTCTACTTTTTGTGCGTCAGATCTGGAAAAATCGAATTCAGATCTGTGAATCAGTGTGAATCTTCAGCGTGGATGAAGAAATTCGATTCAAATCTTTGTCATCTTCTTCATACTCTTCGCAGGGCTTGAGTCGGAAATTCGCCGGACTCGATGGCCAGAATTTCTCACTGGTCGGATTTCGCAGGTTTTGAGTCGCCGGAATTTCTCTCCCGACGATGGGATGAGTTGCAAGACTTGGCCAGGAACAGTGGGGGCTGTGGGTTAGGTTGAGGGGTATTTTGGGAAAGTCAACGTAAATTTTAACTTTTATTAAACTCCGTGCCCGGTCAAAACGGGAACTTTAAATATGGACGGAGGGAGTATTTGTTAAGGCTAAAGGAAATAAAAATGTTAGGACTAATTATCAATTTAGAAGAGCACCTCCTCCCAAACCTAGAACACATTTCACTCATTGAAGCTTGAAGTATAGTAGGACCTTTGAGAGAATCTCTCGGAGGACTGGACTAGCCACGAGGTGGTGAACTGGTACACATTACGGTGTTCTTCACACACATTTCGTTTCGTTTATCACACACGCGAAAAATGTGCATTCTAGAAAACAACTCTATTCACCCTCTCTAGAGTTGCACGTTTTGTTTAACAAGGTGAACAAAAGGTGTGAGGCTGAGCTTGCGAGATGACCGGGTGTGACATCGCGCTGGGTGTAACCAGGGTCACCGGGTTAAGGGGGGTGGGGAGAAATTTTTTTTAAAAACAAAAATCTAATCAATCAAAATTTAATCTATCTGATTATCTCTAGACTTATCATCCCTAATCAATTCTAGCATACTATATATATTTTTTCATCACTCTACCTGATACCATTTATATCCAATGATAAGTGATCACCACCCTCCACCTCCACCTCTTACCATTTACCCTAATTAAAACTGCTCTTAGAGGTATTTAAGTATTTTCACTCTTTCAAAATGGTAACAAAAAGAGTAATGGAGTAAACCCAACTAACTTTCTTCTAAGCTAACACAAGTAACAGCCAAAATAAAGTGCCGTGCGACAATCCAGAGAAAAGAGAAAGAATTTTGTTTTTTTTTTGCTTGTCAAAGTAGAACGAGAGATCAAAAGACGAAAACTCCGAATAACCAGAAAGTTTCCGGAGCTCCTTCTTCAATCATTGTCTTCAATTGAAACCGGAACCGCGGGGTTAGATGCCCTTCCCATCGATCTCCGGTCAGTAAGTTAGTTTCTTATTTTTTTAGTTTTGGTGGTTTGAAGATGCAACGGAACTTCGAAAGACGATGGCTTAGTTCGTAGAAGCTCTAAAGTTAATTGGAATTTCGAATTTGTTTTCCGTTCTCAAATTTGTAAAATTTGTGATTTCGATTAGGTGCTAGTTGGCTCATTTCCTTTTCTTTAATTTAGGGTTTCTTAGATAGTAAAGTTTAAATGTCTTCTTTCAGTTCATTGAATTCTCGGATAGTTTTTGAAGTTACTCCTCAAGTTGTAAATTGCTTCCTCGCTTTAATGCATGTAGCACTGAGTTCTTTTGAGTAATGCTTGGAAAATTTGATTTTAGTGTTTGCTAAGAAAGAGTGTGTTTGGCTGTGCTTTTTGGTGACTCATTCTTGGCTCTGCGTTCGAGAGGCACAATCTGTAATTAAGCTGTTGAGCTGTGTGTTAGAGTTTACGCAGCTTATGTGTTAGACTCTTGGCAAAAGGTGCTTTGGAGAGAAGTAGCTTTAACGCGATTTGAATGACATTTTACCTAGAATCTAACCCAAATTACTTCACCCTCTTTGCTTCTAACATTCCATGATTATAGGAAGTTTCAGTTTTATCAAATCTAAGGCTCTAGATGAGTTAATCTTTTCATCATCTTCTCATCATTTTTAGTTAGGATGGATACATTTGAGGTAAGTTATGATTTATCTGGATAGTTATGATGTGCCTGTTTTATTTCTGTGGTTCTCTTTTGTCAGGTGTGTGAGTGGAGATCAAGATGATGTCAAGATCAATGCTGCTTGTATTTTTGTTAATGGTACTCATAATCACATCTCAGTTTGAATGGAAACAGCAACTAGTGAGTGATGGTGAACAGAGTGCTAGCATATCTCAAAAGCAAAAACAGATTTCTCAGAGAGAAGAAGTTGTAAAAGAAAAGGTTTGATTAACAGCTTTAGTTTATATTGATTTATTATGTAATTCACCATTTGGGTGTCTTTACAGCTTTTCATCTCATTTAATTAGTTTCGTGTCTTAAATTTTCAGTTGGCCTAATTTACTAGATATGGAAACGAGTCAATTTCCATATAATTTACTTCAACTATCTAAATTTGTGGTGAAATAGTGTGTATATGTGTGTGTGTGTGTGTCTATATACATACATACATACATAGATACACACACACACACACACACACACATAGATATATATATCACCCACCACTCTCTAAGATCTGCATTCTTCTTCAAGTTTCCTGCTATGATTGAATTGCTTCATGGTTTGTTTGGAAACTTAGATTTGAATTTCAAATTTAGTAACCCAGATTACACATGTTTTGGAATCCAAAAAAAATTGGATTTGGTTGGATTTGGGCCAATTCAACCCATTCCCAACAAAGCTCAATTACAAATCCACACACTCCCATTTGTAAATTGAAATCTAAGAGTTCAAATTTTAGAATTGAAATCCAAGAATTCAAATGAATTCCTAGTTTCAAGACAATATCTTATTATATTTGGAATCTATTTTTGCATGTATTCTCATATTGTGACTCTATATTAGAGAAAGATAGAAGGTGGTGGAGGATGGTTGGCCTTTGACTTTCATTTTCAGTATTCAAGTTGTAATTAATAAAGGGCACTTGACTTATCTGAGCAAGGCAAAGGGGTGACCTGTGGCCCTGTGTCACCTGAACTTGCCCCAGCGAGGCTAGATACGATAAGCGATGGGAGGTGCTCACTTTGGTATTTTGTATTTGGGGTTCGAGGTGCTCGCCTCTAACTTGAAAGTGTTTTTTTGTCATGTTTAGTTTTACAAAAGAAGGTTGAGTTAGGTGAACCTTTTTAAAAAGTGGTTTAACTTTGATAAACTATGGGCTGAATGCAAAAGACACAAACAACATATGTAAGTCATGCAACAAAAAGCAACATATGTAAAACAATTGAGCCACTAATCGTCAGTGTTGACGATGCAAAGTTCAGTTTGATTTGAGTGAGGAAGAATTGGATTATTAATGAATGATGACATGTTTAAATTTACTACTACCTTCGTTCAAATATTAGGACACTGTTTGACCAAACACGAGTATTGAGAATGTGAAATTTTTGTTGTTGAGAACTTGAGACAAGGGGGTTTTTAATTGTTATATGTTCAACTTGCGAATATATCTTGCCATCAATTGCACTGTATATGTTTTTAAATAAGTTTCGTTGTTCACCTTTTTGCCTTAAAAAAGAACCTCTCTCCGCCGTTCACTTCTCTCTTTTTATAACCATGATGTAAGTAATCTTGACAAAAACATGCCTGAGTTGGTTCGCGCAATTATGTAACTGTGCCAAACCATTTCATACTTTCTCAAAACCTTGAAGCTGGAGTACTGTTTGGAATATCTTAATCTTCAGCCCCACAGGCTGACATCCTCATAAGATACTTTAAAAAGGAAGGGCTACTAGTTTACAATAGTTGATGTCTGTCAATGCCCAGCTCAAACATTTAGCACATCAGTTACATGTCTTCCGCATAAACGTGTCTCGAACAATTCTGACATTTTTTTCCAATACATGCTGCAGGTTATATTGTCACAGGAAAAGAACATTCAGAGACTAAATGAAGTTGTGCGAAGTCTAAGAGAACAATTGCAGCAGTGCAGGGGCAACAATGAGTCGGTGAATGGTGGCGCTCTTAGCTCGCTGACAGAGAACATCATCGAACTTGAACAACAGCAAATTCTGATGGACTAGACGGATGGCGCGGCATCAAATAGTTTGACATCCTCATCTGTATGTGCTATATATCTGTTCGCATATGCATGCTGCAGTAATTCTTTGCATTCTAGAATCTGTTGTGGGTTGGAGAACTGATTTTAGGAATTCTCAAATGTATCAGTTTCTTGAAACCATCTGCTTGTCTCTGAGATTCGCTGAGGATCGAGCAGTTTAAATTCTGACGATGCTCTTATGTATAGAAATTTGAGTGGTAAGTCCTAAGTATTCTTATAGTTGCATGACCGCAACACCAAAGAGTGAATGCTTTGTTGATAACTGGATCATTATGCGCATTTTATATATTTGATTTGAGAAGATCTTTGTTTTCTTGAAGAAATCAACCAAAATAAGTGCAAAACATAATCCTTACCCCCAAAATAAGATTGACATGTTCTTATCTTTAAAATAAGACTACTGCACTGTGACAATGTGACACTACAAGTGGCATTCCACTTTGTTCTTTGGTACTATATATTAAGAATAATAGATGTGTTAGGAAATAGAATATATTTATTCATTGGGCCAAATTCCCGTGACATTGCCCGACAATTTCATGGGATGACCCGGGAGCGCTTCGATGCTCCGTTCGTAAAATTGACGGTTCCTACCCCTCCTAACCCCCCCGGTAAACCCCCCACCCCGCCCCGACCCGAACACACCCCCCACTTCCTTCAATTGCACCCCACAAGTTGATTTTGACTTTGAAGTCAAAATTTGACTCCAAAGTCAAAATCAACTTGTGAGGTGCAATTGAAGGGGGTGGGGGTGTGTGTTCGGGTCGGGGCGGGGTGGGGGGATTTACCGGGGGGGGTTAGGGGGGTAGGTTTCGTCAATTTTACGAACGGGACACCAGAGCGCCCCCGGGTCATCCAATGACATTGCCGGGCAATGTCATGGGAACCTTGGTGTTATTCATTACCTTCTTTATTACTTCCTCCATCCAATTTTTTTCCGGTTTTACTTGGTACAGAGATTAAGAAAAATTAAAAAGTGTAAGGACTTTCCATGGGTTACCCTTGATGTGATGGAATAAAGTGAATAGTGTAGATTAAAAGTTTTTTGTCAAAATAAGAAACGGGGAAGAAACTGTTGACAGCCCTAAAAGGAAAACGAGAGAAATTATTATAGAGGGAGTACATTACTTCCTTACTTTATTGTTACTATAATTCTTCTCCTACTTAGATTAGAATTCTCTCTTGTAAACTGTATATATAAGGATGTGTTTTTCATTATTTAATAAGACCAATTATTATCAAATTGTATCAGGGTATCAGAGTTAAGGTTCTCAAAACTATCACTTCCTTTTCCAACCAAGCACATCATCAGCCTTTGTTCACGGTGGTCGACTTTCTGACAGCATGGCGTCACCGACCGATCTCGACGAGCGTGCCTAACATTCGTCGCCCATCATCTTTCCTTTTCTCTCCAGAAACATCCATAATCTCTCTATCTTCCAAAAGAAATCATGTGCTTGACCGAAGAAAGGAAAAGTTGCATTTGTCTGTGTTTTATTTTAGAGATCGAAAGCATTGAAAACGATAGAGAAACAAAAACGGTTCAAAAGGAGAAAACAAGAAAGTCATCGCCCTCTCTCCAATCACCAACACTCTCACCGCAAAAAAACTCAGCAAACGTAATCTTAAGCTTGTTCGTCATGCAATAAAGATCTAGCTCTCCACTTCTAAAGGCTGTCCTCACAAAACTATTCAGACGACTCAATTCCAGTACGTGTGCTCTAAACTGCTCCTCGTTACTGATGATTAGCTTGCGGGGAAATATTAAGAACAATAGATGTATTAGGAAACAAAATATTACTATTCATTACCTTTCTTATTACATTACTTTCTTACTATATTGTTAGTATAATTATTCTCTCACTTAGACTAGAATTCTCTCTTGTAATATATATATATATATATATATATATATATATATATATATATATATATATATATATATATATATATATATATATATATATATATATATATATATATATATATATATATATATATATATATATATATATATATATATATATATATATATATTATGCTTCAATGGCTTTTTTTGAGAGAAGGAGGAGCAGCGGTTCTAGGGCTGTCCGTCAACGCCGCCGACCAGCCGTTTCCTTCAGCGATATACCTACAGGTCGGAAAATCTTCAATAGCCGGACCAGATTCTCTACCCGCTATGCCTGGTGCGAAGGATTCCGCAGAAAACGCAGGTTTCATCTTCCGGATACGCACTTTCATCATCGTTTGCGTGGATTACCCTTCAAGAACCCCCTCCCTAAAGAAAAGCGCGACCAATACGTTTACAGTGACTCTAGGTTATGCTTCAATGGATTCGAAGGGTGTTCAACAGAAACCACCCGAAATCTCAGATTCAAATTCCAGACACATCATAAGGTATTTATGCTCTTTTATTCCTTTTACAATCACAACTTCTGCATCTCTGATTTTGGAGCTAGAAGATACTGCATTTGGTTCGATTTGGAAACTGTTAATTGGATCCTAGGTTCTCTGCCATTTTTTTCGAAGCCTAAATGTTTGGAAGTTTCCAAAACAGAGGAAAATAGGACCATTTATCTTTCCATTGGTATCAATAAAAGGGGTAAATTTGTGAAAATTCAAGAGATTAGAAGAGAGGGCAGTATTTCATTGCTATCCCCTTTGATTCACTAGCTGACGGCCCAAAACTCTTCACCAAGGCTCTCTCTTTATTCACCAAGAGAGCTACCAACCTTGAGGAAAGTTCAAAGGTGTGTGTGGATCCCCAAGAACCCCTGTGTCATTCTCCCACTGGAATTGAAGCTTCTTCCCTGCCTACTACTACTAGGCAGGATGTTATTACCCATCGAAGTAGTGATTTCACAAGTTCAGAGGGCTTCGTTGTTAACCCCACTGCCGTAACTAACAAGCAGCTAGTTATTTTTCAGAATAAAGCAGCTCCTAATGTCAGCCTTTCCATCAACCAAGACGAAGAGTTTCCACCCCTGGCCCGGAAACTCCTTAGTGCTTTTGCTCCCACCTTTGTGCCCGATGTATACTCCTACGCTAATATTTTCACTAAGGAACAAGGATCCAATGTTATTACAGAGCCGGAAGAAGACCCCTTTTCAAATCTCAATGGTCAAAGCTTGGTTCTATCCCTCAACGCAGTGGAAGATCACACTAAGGACAGGGAAGGTCCCATTCTCTATACCCACTCCGAAGGGGAGGATTTTGTGTTCATAGACACAAAGCTCAAACCTTTACAAATCGACTTCTCAAGATGCTCCAAACACCCCCTCCATCTCCGCAAGGAACTAAAAGGAAGAAGGACGTACTCACCGTCACAAATTGTTACGAGGAGCAAGGCTAAAATACTTGAGCAAGGAAGGAAATTTAATCCGATAGGCTGGGTCGAAGAAGAAGACTTGTTAGATCCCCAAGAATCACATGAGGACGAGGTTATCAATTTCTTCAAACTTTGCTGTCCTAACAAGATTGAAGATCCTAAACCCCTTAGCAAACCTCTAACCAAAACTCAAAAAAAGAAAATGAAGAAGAAAAAGAAGCAGACTCAATTTTCTGATTATGGTTACGATGAAGAGATTGGATATGCTTATTGAAAGACCTGCTGTTATAATTATTTCTCTAACCCTTCTTTTGAGTTTTGTTTGTTCCTTATTTCTGAAGAAGTAAGAGGTTATTAAAGCCAAGGGTGTTTGGGAACAAATTTGATTGAATTGAAAGTGAACTTTGGCACTGGATGGGTTTGGCACGGTTGTGGAATCACCAAGGACATTGGAAATTGGATGGCCTCTTAAATGTATAAATCATTTGACTTTACCCTTTGCAAGCTTTCAATGGTTAGAATTGAAAGTGAACAATTTGGCAGTGGATGGGTTTGGCGTTGTTACTTAGCGCTGTTTCTGGGTTTTGCTTCGATTATCAACCCTACGGATGGGCAGGATTTTTGTCATCTTCCCTGGAGCTGATTCATGCGCTTGGCTAGAGCTGCTGGGCGGACCTTAGTGCTGGACATTTGGGCAGACAGGCTTTGCTCTACTCCTGGTTTTCTTTTAGTGTTTGTCTAGATGCTATTTGTTTCATATTGTCTTGGTTTTTTCCTCTTGTTTGTAGTTTTTTTTTCTTTTCTTTTTTTGGGACAACTTGTTGGGATCGTCCCATCCCCCTTGTTTCTTTTTTTCTTTACTTAATAAAAATAAATATTTATTTAATATATATATATATATATATATATATATATATATACATACACACACACTTCATTATTTAATAGGATCAATTCTTATCAAATTATTGAATAATCAGAATAGTTGTATTTCTCAAAAATATTGAAGATACATCTCAGTATATATAAAAGAGATTCCAAACATAACTAGGAACCAAAAATAGAAGCTGATTAAAATACTGATTCTACCATAATTGATATTGACTTCTAACACCCCCCCCTCAAGGTGAACGTGGAGACACGAGCGGAAGCTTGGAAACAAGAGCTTAAAAACGTAGCTTTGACAATGGTCTAGTCACCAGGTCAGCAAGTTGTTCTTTAGAGAAAATATGAGATACAGTCATAGTGTCAGGAATAACCTATTCGCAAACAAAGTGACTGTGTGTAGCCACATGTTTCATATGCTTGTGAAACACCGGGTTTTTTGTGAGACATAGAGCAGACTGATTATCAAAGAAAAGTCATGGAGGAGATAACGGTATGCACAGATCATCAAAAATATATTCGAGCCGCATAACTTCAGAAGCTGCGGCCGAAAGAACTCTATGCTCAGCTTCAGTGGAGAACTCTATACTCAGTTTTTATTTCTATACCAATATATAAATAAAATGAATTGAAAAAAGTTGATATTTTGCCTCGAGAATACAAGTGTGGCAAATATTTAGGGACGGAGGGAGTATGTATCAAACGGTTTGGATAGGATAAAAGTCTGCTGAATCTGTATACTTCTGATGCCGGACGGTAGCCTGGTACCGTCCAAACGGTACCCAGCTACCGCCTCAGGCTCGTTGCTGCTGTCGGTATCTATGAGCGACGGTCGGACGGTACCGTACTCACGGTACCAAGGTACCGCCAGACGTACCGAGGTATCGTGACGGGTACCGTACCAGCATCAGCAAATCTCCGTTGTTTGACTGTTTGACCCGATTTGGAACCCGAATTGATTCTGAGACTTTATGTGTTGCATGACGGTAAATGGAAGGTGTTTACACCCGACATTAGACCGCTATTTGGATTGCATGATGATTTATTTAGCTACTTCTGCTCTCTTGGTTTATAATGGATATAATATGATATGTCTTGTACGAATTGGTAAAATGAGTTTGTTGATAGCTTGGATCTGAATAATTAAGGTAGTTTAATGACATAGGTTACCTAGAAGAACTCTAGGACTACCTTGTGAGAATTAAGATTTGTAAGTGGACAATAGGTGTAGAGCCTTGCGGACTTAGTGTCCGGTGGCATTCGGGTAAAGATGTACGTACATGGAATTTGGGATCTGATCCGTAGGATTGGAGGTTCCACCCAACCGGGGCCGTGGGTACCAGGTTGACCAGAATCATGGCTGTAGGTAGTGGTTCTGATGTCATAGAATAGACTTTGAGTCATGGCCGTAGGTAGTGGCTCTAAGTCCTTAGATAAGAATGAGGATAATGAGGAATTGGCCTTAGCCTAGAATAGGTTATGAGCTAGTGTTTGATATGCGATGTGGTAATGACTTGAATAATGTGACAGTGACTTGTGCAGGTGGAGAACCAAGGTAAGTAACCGAATGTGTGTTGTTATAACGTAGTTGATGTATCTGATAATTGTTATGTGATATTATTACTGTTGAACTTGTGTGCATGATATTATATGAAGTTATGAGCTAGTGGGTTCGTCTATGTGCGTAGTCGAAATGTTAGATACTTCTCACTTAGCTTCAATGCTGAGCGTGTAGCCCTTTTTCCTATTTGCTACACGTAGGTAACATGAATGATGAATAAGGAACTATCTTGGAGGGCAGCGAGGGCAGAGAGGTGGATGGATGCTAGCTGGAGGAGTTTATTATTTAATTACTTAAATATTATATTTGGATTAATTTTGTTTTTAAGGGCAAGAACCAAAGTTGTATTTTGATTAAGTACTTAAAGGCTTCCGCACCGTTTCGTTAACTCCGATGGATATTTAAATATTGTTTGAATTAAATGTTTTGAATTGTTTTTGAAAATTATTGTGTCTGAATACCAATTTAGTGACAACCCGATCCGCTGAGCCTTGTATTCGGGTCACGCGGGTTGGGGGGTTACAACTTAAATGTCATTGCCCCACCATAATAAGTGGACCGCTGGCCTAGGGAACGTCTCTTGAGGAGATTCCGTTTGGAGTCCTTTCCTTACCATAATTGGACCGTCTCCATTCCTTTTTTTCCTTCTATATATACGGTCAGTTCCCTTCTCCTTTTCCTCACCCCTCATAGCGATCCAGAGCTTTTGCTTTCATCTTTAATCTTTCCCTATTTCGGCCTTCTTCCATCCTTCTCCTCACTCTCTGCAAAATGAAGAAAGCCATCACCAAGGCTTCCAAATTCTTCAACGGTGGCAAGAAGTCGGAGGATGAAAGTGTCTCCTCCATCACCGACGCTCAAATGAGGGAGATGAGGGCACTGATTCCCCTCGACTATCAAGTTTGTCCCGCCGACGGGACCACCTTGGAATTCAACCACAATACACCTTTTCGCTTGATCGTCCACTACGACTCCGTCAAGATGGGATGGCGCTTTCCCATCCACCCTTTCTTGGTGGAGATTTGCAACCGGTATTCTATTCCTCCCAGTCAAATCTCCTCCAACTCTCACGAGTCCATCTATTGCTTCCTTGCCCGATGCCATAAGAAGGGCATCCAGCCTAGCTTGGAGCTTTTCCTCTCTTTTTTCCGCCCCCACAAATACGATCGTGAAGCGGGCAGGGGCTTTGTGAGCTTCACGGCCTGGACGGACATGCAATTCTTGGAGAGCCCGGTCGACAAAATCGATGATTCGTTTCGCCGTTTCTTCGTGGTCATGGCTCCGGAGGATCTCCCTTTTCCTAACGTGTGGAGAAAGAAGGAAGACAAGTTCCCTTCCCACACTTTTCCTCCTCGCACTCTGGCCCTTGAGGAGACCTGTCTTCTCCTCAAGAACGGCCATCCTGTTCCCCGCAACCTCCTTTATAAGAACTCATACTTCCAGGGGCTTGGATTTTGGGTGCAACCCGATGCTCCCCTCCAAGCAATATCGGGGAACACCGTCTCTTCTTGGGCTCCTCCACCCAAGACCACACGGCTTCGACGGGGGTCACGGTGATCCTATCGAAGGGATCCCTCTCCAAAGGAGGACACTGAAGGAGAAGAGGTGGGGACTGCCACTGGGGACCACCCCCTGCAACTCGCTAACCAGGTGATCCTCCAAGAGGAGCTGGAGGACGACTCTGATGAGGATGGCCTCTAATGTTTCCCTCCTGGGACTCTTAAAGGGTCCAATTTCATCCCGAGTGTGCCTCAAAGCCCTCTCTTTGGCAGGGGGGTTCCTCTTCTACCCAGCCCACCGGCTCTCTGGGTTTCCATCCCCAAGGCAGTGGGACCCATCCCATTGGCCGGGCCACCGGTTCACAGGGGTCCCGTGAACCGCCCCATGTCCAAGTGGACGGGCGTGGGATCCATTGCAGCCCAGAGTCTTCCTGGCACTTCTCCCCCTCCTCTGGCTGTGGAGGGGATGATGTTACTTCTCAGCTCTGTCCACCCACTGCTCAGAACTTCGTAGAATCAGCGGCGGAGAGCATTTTTTGGACCGACCCTTGACCAGGGCATTTCTCTCCTTGGAACGGACATTCAGCGGTCCTTCAGGGAAGCAGAGGAGCTTATCCGGTCCTCCAGCTTCCGGCGGGCCACTGTCCGCCCACCGGTCCAACCTATTGCCAATCTAGGTCCATCAACATATGAGACGGGTATTCATCTTCACAGGCCCGCCACAAGCGAGGCCGAAACTCCACCCCTCCCCAAGGCATGGAAGAGTCCGCCGGCCAATCCCATGGGACCGTCGGCGATGAGCCTCCCACCGGGCAGGATACTGCCTTTGGCGATCTGCCTTACCCCTATGCCCGGGAGGCCCATCTCTTTACTGGGTACACGGCCTGGGCCGTACGGGACTTCCAACGCCGTCTCTACGAGATGGGTCAGTTCCAGAAGGACCACCCGGATGTGGTCGAGAGCCCGGCTTGGCCTTTCATGTTGGAGGAGTATGCCAAACGAATAGAAATGAGATAGGCTCGCTATCAACTTTCCAGAAGGCTAAAAGGCTTCAATCGGCCCCACTGGTGGCGCCAGTGACAGATGCCTAATATTTTCCCTAGGACTGTTGATTGGTCTAGGTCCAAATATTAGTATCGAGATGAAAAGAGTAATGGATTGTAATTAAAGGTGTTGCACACAAAATATGAGCTCAAACCAGTGATCCTTTCCTCTATTCGGTCCACCTTGGGATCGGAATATGCTAAAGGACCGCTAGAATATTCTTTTATTACTCAAGTCTCTTCTCTCTCTATTACAAGTTATCCCCTCCTGTCTAAGTTTTCCCTCCTTTTGTAGGAGCTCCCCAGCCACCATCTCATCAACATATTCGCGGTGGTTGGGGAGGATATCCGGGCAATCCTCACTTTTCTCCGAAATATGTTTATCAACTCAACGCCATCCATTTAAGGACAAATCCGTCCATCCGCCCATTATCTCTTGCTTCCTCTGTCCATTTGTCCGCCTCCCCAAGGAGGCGGCCTACCCTAATCGTGGGATTCCTTTCTTCTGGGTGACCCGTCCTTCATGAGCTGAGGTCCAGCCCACACCTTCAGCTCCCCAACCTCATCTCTTTCCCTACCTTGTCTCTTGGACAGCTTCTCTTTGCCGGCCCATTGTATTAAATTGTGAGAAGAAATTTGAAGGAGTTGAAAAAGTTAGAAGTTAATTTTGTCAACCTAAAAGAACAGACATTTAGTGTACACTCATTTTCTTGTTTACAAAACAAAAATGTTTATCTAGGTTGGTGAACACAAAATAAGTTGTGTACAACTTGGGATTCACCAAATAGCGTACAATTAGATTTTTCCATGTGCTAAGGAGCAAAATAAACGTAAAACATTAATAAAATTCAACATAGGAGTTAAAAGATAAAACGCGTCAAATAAGAGTAAAAGTATAAATTAAAACGCATCTCACGCGCTGCACTTTTGCGGTTAAAGAACTCCTAATCACCATGGTGTTCAACTTCTTCAATTCTCTTCTATGAAATAGTGGAAAAAAATATAGCTTCACAAATTAGCACCCATCCAAAATACATGAATGTGTGTGAGTTTGGATATATGAAAATGCCTCACCTATTTCTCCCATATGTTTTAGCTTCTGACCTTTTCTTTCACGCTTTCTCCCTTGTGAACTTTTGAAGGTCATTTGTCTATCTACCGTAGTCTGCTGCCAAAGCCCCCTGTCAGTGCGCTTCTCCTCACGGAAGTGGGCTGCTATATACTCCTTCTTGAAAACCCAGTCGAAGTAGGCCTAAGTCCAGGGTTTGGGTATCTTTTCATCAGAATCAACATGCTTCCACCATTCGTATGCTCCTTACGGAGCAGCTGCGATGCAAGCCTAGGGTGGTCCAATATGGGGGCGTTCAGATCTCCAAGCACTCGCATAGTCTGGTCAATTCAATTCAATGCGATGTGGGGTTCAACGATTCTGTCCCCCAAGAACTCCTCCGCTCCATTGTCCTTCAGGATTTTGAAGGTGATCTGACAGGGTGGTGGCGAAGGCAGTGGCTGAAACATTGGTGCATTCGCCATCTGCTGCAAGAAGTTTTCCATAAAGGCACGCATGACAAAGTCGGGCTTGTTCCCAATGTTCTGATTGTTTCCCGCATTCAGGGGAATGTTCAGCTGTACGGCGTCCTGATTAGGAGCGAATCTAGAATCTTTAGTATGGCCGTCGATGTGCTCGTATCCAACGTGTTGCGTGTTGTCATGTTCATGGGTCGATGCTTGACTCATTCTATGAACACAAATTTCTTAGTCAGTCAAACACACATAACATGCAAACCTATAAACGTATTACCTTCCCGGGGTAGATGGGTCTCAAGAGATGTGGTGGAGCTTTTGGAAATCGCTTATGTATGATCTAGAGGTTGTTTTTAAAACCATGTGCTCCGATACCAAAATGTAACACCCCAACATGCGTAACCCGAATACATAGGTCAGCGAACCGGATTTCTACTAAAGTGACATCCAAACAAAACTCAATTTCAAAGAAAATTTAAAATAAATACTTCAAAATATAATTTAAAATATTTCTCAGAGTACTTGAAAAGTAATGCAGAAGCTTATATCATTATTGAAAACAACTTCTGAGTCAAGCATGTAAAAGTAATAAGTTATCAGGAAATAAATAAGAATTCAAAATCTTCAATTATGTCCATGCAAAAATCTTCGTCCTCATTGCCCTCGAGATAGGCTCCAGGTTCATCCCGTCCTTGATAACCTACGTGTAGCAAAGAGGGAAAAGGGCTACATGCTCAGCAATGAAGCTAAGTGAGAAATATATAACTTTCGACTATACATATAGAAGAACTCACTAGCTCATAATATCATTTGATATCATGCACATAAGTATAATATAACAACAACACATGAAACACATAACATGGGGAATTAGGATCGTACTACACATATACAACCCTGTTACCTGAGTCACTTGATTTATTCTCTTACTTAGCACATTACCTATTCTAGACTAAGGCTTGTTCTTGATACTTTCCTATGGCAGTCATGACCTTCTCCTTCGGAGTGAAGGTCAAGTTCAAACAACCTCGGGAGTTCCTCGTTGGGTGGGTGAGCTCCCAAGTTTAATTCACATCAATCAGTATCCAAAACATATACATAACATACTTAGATATATTATAAACAAATCAATTGAGTAATCGATGCCTAATCATGGAATCTACCCAAGGATTCACCAAAAATTCCAAATCTTCCCAAAAACATCAAATTTGAAAAATAAACCAATCAAAGGAATTCATGAATGTGAATTTAAAACCTACATATATAATCTAGTGTTTGATATCCACGTACTCACCTCGAATTGACAAAAGGTTAACTACAAAGAAAAATAAGGAAATAAATTAGCAACGACGACGGTGGAGATGGCGTCGACGGGTAGCGGCGACTCCTCTCCTTCTCCTTCCTCTTCCTCTTCTTCTCCTTCCCTGCGCATGGTCTGTCCTTTGTCGCTTTGTTCCGATCGCAAGACACGAGAGGGAGTTACGTGCATGTGGAAGGGGCGGCAATCATGGGTTTAGGCGATTAGGGTAGTATGCTCATAGGGTTTTGTGCTCCATAATATAATTAAGGTACCTCGATAAAAATACACTTTTTGGTCCAACTTATTTCGAAATCATATCCGTTTGCATCGTTAGATTCGTCTCGTCAAACCCTACACAATGGTATAAACTTTATATTTTATTGATGAATATTTATAATTAACTTCGGTTCCGTCCGAGTAATTAATCAATTATTTTTAACTAATTAATTCTGATAGGCCAGGTTTCGGGGCATTGCACCAAACCCGACACAGTGTCCTGCATGATTGCCAACGACCATTAATCCTTTCACGGCCACCATTGAACGACTAGATGACCAAACATCCCAAATATTGGTGGATGCCCGTTTTCCTGACACCAAATTGTTATCCCAAATCATCTAAACAAAATAAAGTAAAATTAAATTCAATTAAAGATCAAGAGGGAACCCACTCACTTTGAAATCACGGCTTTGAAGCAGAGAAATAGAGGTGGGGCGGCGTGGCATATCTGAGTGGGGTGTATTCAATCTAAATTTTAAAAGATTTTGATATATCGTTTAGAGTCTATGGATTATGTAAATTCAATAGATTATTTTAAGTCTACGCAGATTTAAATAGATTTTAATGTATTTTATCAGCAAGATTTTATAGGATTTTGATAGATTTTTTCCTTTTTTACTTTTTTCTTTTTTCTTTTTCTTTTTTCCTTCATCCTCCCCAATTCCCCAACCCTAGCCGAGGTCTCTATTTTTCTCTCTCCTTTCTTTCTTCGCCGCCAGCATCGTTCCCTTGCCGCTGCCGCCTCCGCCGTCGATCTCTTGCCGCTGCCGCCTCTGCCGTCGATCCCTTGCCGCCGCCTCCTCTGCCGTCGATCCCTTTCCGCCGCCGCGTCTGCCGTCGATCCCTTGCCGCCGCCGCCTCTGCCGCCACCATCGTTGCCAACCACCAAAAAGATGGTGTCTAGCTCGGATGAGGGAATCCCTCCCGCATCAACACCAAATGGACAGCGGCTCCCCAATGCATCCTCGTCTACCATAGAAGCCAGACTTTGATGCTTCCGACTCCCAAAAATCTTGCTTGAATTGAATAGAGAAGAACTCATAGAAGAGATAAGAAAACAAGAAGGAATTGCTGGGCGATGACCAAAGATTTCCTATGTCAAGAAGTGGTCGCCGGGAAGAAGATTAGTCCAAGAGCCGTGGAGTTGCAAAATCTTTCAATTTTTTGTCAGATTTTGGACTTAGATTTCAATTTATACCCAAAGCCCAAAATCCATCAAAATCCATATTTTACAAAAATCTATCAAAATCTATTGATTTTTGAATACCATTAAATTTAGAAGGATATATTAAAATCTGAATTGAATACATCTAGATTTTAAGTGAGTTTTTAAAATCTGAATTGAATACCCACAGACTTTTGAAATCTAAAAAAATACTACAGAATCCGGATTGAATACACCCCCTTAGATCGGTGGGAGTGCATGGCGGTGGGATAACACTGTGATTGGGCGGCACTAGCGATGATGTTGCAGATTTGAGAGGGACACGGCGATGAAGCTTAGAGGGGCTTGGGAAAATGGCGACGGTGATGCGATTGAGAAGCGGCGGCGGCTTTGGCGCTTCAATTGGGAAGTGACATCGGGGGCAATTGTAATGTGAACAAAATCTAACATTTGTCGCAAAACCTAGTCCATCCTTTTGTTAATGGAGAGGCAACTCTCCTTGTTACTCAATCAAGATCTCATAAGCACATCTTCTTCTCCACTACATATTCCTAGCTTTTTTCTCTCTCAAATCACTCAATTTTGAGCATCAATCACTTAATTTTAAGCATCAATTTTAAACCCAAAACAAATAAAAACTAAAGCAAAGCCAAGCGGGAAAATAGAGGAAGAGAAATGAATACGTTAACAACTCACCACTCCAAGAAAGTCATAAAAGGTTCTCACAATTTAGGAAAGAAACATGACATTACCCAGATCCAAGAAAAAGAAAAAGAATATCATCGATCATTTGTTAAACATAAACCTCCATAACCTTTTTTTCTTAATCGACGTAAGACTTCTCTCTTCTTCTTTTGCATCAGTAGCTACTAGCACACATCAGACTTCTCTCTTCTTCTTCATTATCAGTAGCTACTAGCGCACGTCAGACTTTTATATTCTTAGGGTTTCCAGTTCCCATGTAGTGTCCAAGCTTCCTCTTGCTACAGCTAGACTCAGCTTGAGGGGAGGATGTTAGACAAGGGCATTAAGTATTCATATTTATGGTAGATGTTGTATGTTAGTTAGTTTCTATTTTGTATTTCGGGTTTTATTCGTAGTCTCTCTCTCATTATATATATATATATATATATATATATATATATATATATTTGAGAAAAGTATTTATTACTGATTAATGAATACGAAAGTTGGTACAAGAAGTGTCGCAAATGATTGCTCCCTTAACAGCCTTGGGGAGAGAATTAAAATTATTGTAGACTGTATAAAAGTTGTTCTGAATTGCGTGTCTTTCCAGATTGTGAGCTGCCGAGTTTTCTTCTCTGAAAATGTGCCTAATTGTTCCCTTGTTTTTTGCTAGTGTAGTCCAAATCAGGGAAATTGTTGTTGTTGTGTGAGTAGAGTCATTGACTTCTTTAATTGAATTCTGAGAGTCAACTCTTAGATGGATGGGTGCCGTTTGAAGTCCTGCCGCCCATTGCAAACCAAGGTTCGCCGCTGCTAGTTCCCCTTCTAGTGGATTGTTGCCTCTTACTTCCGCTGTAATAGCTGCAATGAAGTCCCCCGTTCTTGAGCGCAGAATTGCTCCTCCAACTTGTCTCCCTTCTCTGATGGCTACGTCGGTGTGGAGGATGACTCCGTTTTCTTCGCCTCTCCAGTTAAGAATCTGAATTGCTGGTGTCTTCAGCATTGGTAGGTCATCTTTGTTGAAATAGAGTTTATGCTTGCTTTTCACAGACGCCCATTCGATAAGGTTTTTTCAAATTAAATGCATTATTTGGAAAGCAGATTTGGGGTCCTCATCATGTTGTCTTCTATTCCTCTCTTTCCAGATTTCGAAACTAATTATGCCTGGAATCACTAGCTTGGCTGTGCTGTTTGGATCAGAGTTCTTCGTTTGTGTCCACCATGACATTAGGTAAGCCCTTATGCCATGAGTTGTTGTTCGTGTGATTCTGAAAGATGTTTCAAACTGATTCCAAATAGCTTTGCTGTAGTTGCATTCTTTAAATATGTGATTGCTTGTGTCTTCATTGTTCCTGCAAAAAGGACAAATCGATGGCAGGGAGTAACAGAATTTGGTTAGTTGTTTAGGAAATGGAAGAGTATCTTTGTAGAGTCTCCAGAGAAA